TATTGAGGTTGTGCATGTATTGATGTTTGAAAACCAGTGCGATTCACGTGTTTTGTGCCTTTATGACTTGTCCCCAGTGTTGGTTGATTGATTTGTAAGCTTACCTAGTGTCTGACTTGGTTTGCTTGGGGACAAGCAAACGGTTAAGTGTGGGGGAGTTTGATAGGCCGATAATCATACATGTTTTCACCCCTATTCTGAAGTCGTTTGTGATGAGGAATCTCGTATTTTAAGCCGATTTTACGCTAGGTTGTGTGTTTATGTCATATTTCAGGTCCTGGCGTTGGAATCGAGGCGAAGGAACGAGTTCTGGATCGAAAGGAGCGAAGATTGGACAAAGGATCCTGCTGGACCAAAATACCCGGTCAAAGGAAGAAATACCCGACCGGGTATATTCTGGCCTCGACCGGGTATTTCCTCCTTCGGGCACCCGTGAGAAGCAGAAGGGGGCCCGGGCGATGGCGATAAATCCCCGGTCGGGGATTTTGGTGGTAGACCGGGGATTTTCCCCTTTAATGGAACGGTGCGTTTCACAATACCCGGTCGATCCATAAAATACCAGACCGGGTATTTTGACCGGGTATCGCGACCAGGCAGCTGATAAAAGAGGAAGAAGGCCAATTTTCAAAGGGTTCCGAGTTTTTGAGAGAGAAACCGATACCTAGAGAGAGAAAGCGTCGAACCAGAGTTCTCAAGCGCCATAGATCGATCTTCAACACCATTGGAGCCCGTCTTGAGCTTGGAGAAGTGCGATTAAACGTCCAGAAGCAGGAATCCAACTTCACAGTATGATTTCCGTGTCTGAATCTGCTTTTGCTTCTTTCTCTATGGAGTAGTTTCCCCATTCATCTGGGTATGGAGAACCCTAGATTTGTATGCTAGGTCTGATTGTATGAACCCAAGTACAGTGTTTGTGAATTGATTATATTCGATTGAGGTTTGATTGATTGAATGACTTGAATCCTGATCAAATTTCTGTTGTTTCTGCTTTAACCTGGAATGAGAATATCTGCCTAGGTTGATAGAGTACCCTTAATCGAAGGTAGCGAATTGGTGACTTTAGTCGAGGAGCCAATTCGCTGTTCTGTACCGAAGTCGATTCGGTAGTGGAGGTTTGGTTCATTAGGGCCTCAATCTGTTTACTCCGGTGGAGGTTAGTCGCCCGCTAGAGACTCAGATTGAGAGGGTCTGGAGACCTTTAGTCGAGACTTCAGGCTAATTGAGAACCTTCCGCAGTATAACTTTCATGAAAACTGAACTTGGCAAATTGCAATCCGACTTAACTGCAGTCTAGGGGGAAACCATATCCGGGTGACCTCTCTTGACTGGACAACAAACCGTTTACTTGCTCTGTGTTTTGTTTGCTTGAGTTTCACTAAAAGTTCACTGCTAAATAACAAGAATTCACCGAGTAGTCATCACATCTAGGACCCGGGTTGACATTAAAACCCGACCCGCTATACTACGCTTTAGGAATTGGTTATACTTGGCCATTTTCTAGGGTGACGGTAGGAGTGAGTCACTATCTCTATATAAGACTTAGCTACGAACCTGTCGTAAGCAAGCCGTCACAATGTAGTCGTTCAATAAAATGTCAGTCGTGAGCTCGTTCCGAGCTCACCGTGGATTAGTCTCGATCAATCAAGATCGAGGATACCACGTAAAATCGTTTGTCTCGTGTTCTTGTTATTCCGCATCATCAAATTCTACATGGTATCAGAGCGAAACTCGATCCCTTGTCTAGGGTTTTGAGCTTCCGCAGTCAACCTTCGTATTGGCGAAGTCCAACCCGCCGTCAGTCAATCTCAAGCTATCTTCGCAAGTAGCTACTTCCGGTAGTCAACTCCATGTTGGTGTCTCTCCAACATCATCACGGCGTCCGCTCGATTAGTCACAGTTGTCGTCGAAAGAAGAGCCGATGTCCACTCCAGCCTTCAACTCCGAACCCGTATCGTCGCTGCCTCTGTTCGTCGGCGAAGTCTTTCCCGACGTTGAGAACCAGATCTCAAGATCCGTCGTCAGGTCAAAGCCAAGGCGCCACCATCGACGTCGTACGTGCCGTTGTTGATGATGTTGTCGTCTTACCTCGCCATCGTCATTCTTGTCATCACCGCACGTCGCCGAGTTGTACGTACCTTGCTCGCTGCTGTTACGAAGTCTCCCATCATCAGCGCTTTCGCAAGTGAGTCCCGCCAGCGTCAATCTCCGTCAAAATATGCTGGTTATCTCATCGGTCTTAATAGGCTATGTTCGTCGCATGAAGTCATCATCAACAACCATCTCCTGTAGAAGGCAGCTCCTCGCGTCGTACCGTTCAACTCGTCTCAAGTTAAAAGTTCATGCCACAGTCACTGTGTTTTGTCAAGATGAAAGGGTGGTGATTGCTTCTGTAAGCACTAAGCACAATGAAAGGGTTTTGAAACCCCCAAGGCCGTCCTCTCCACAATGGACCGCCTAAGGTTCCCTTTTAATTTTGTTTGGGCAGGTTACTGAGGATTGTTTGGCTTCTGATCAGGCCCACAACTCCTCGGCTGTTTATTTCATCCATGTTGAAAGTGTCGTCAAGCCAATCTTCACCAACAGAGTCATGGCGTTGAAAACAATCCCTTCAATAGCTAGTGTTGGGAAGATAGAGCTTATTCACTCAACAAAGTTGGTCAAATCCAAGAACGAGGCAGTCACGATCCAAAGAAGCGATCGTCCCCTTGACGTTCAAAATCATCAATTTTCAGTCTTCACCATTCTAACTTTCAAGCTGGGCATTCACATCGTTCATGCGTCAGCTTGAGGGGGAGAATAGGGAGTCAAGTCGTCCAGGAGATGCAGTCAACCATCTCCACCATATCATACGGATAGACGTAGTCAATCGTCTCCGTCAAGTCATTCAAGAGACGCAGTCAACCGTCTCTGTCAGGTCGTTCAAGAGACGCAATCAACCGTCTCCGTCGCGACGTTCAAGAAGATGCAGTCAACCATCTTCATCAGGTTGTTCAAGGGAGAGAGTCAGTCGTCTCCAAATCAACCTCGTTCGAGATGTTATTCATCTCGAGTTTTGTTGTTCAAGCTTGTCATGCTTGTTCGTCACATTTCCTTTTTCAAGCTCGACATTCTTGTCACTCATGTCTTCGCTTGAGGGGGAGTGTTAAGGATATTAATTATTTAGTAAAAAATAATTAATTCCTTGTCCTTCAAGTCCCTTGTTTAATTTTCTTGTTCATGTAAAAGAAGGAAACTTGGTTGTCGTTAGGGTTTTAACCCTAGTCTATCTCTATATAAGACTTAGCTACGAACCTGTCGTAAGCAAGCCGTCACAATGTAGTCGTTCAATAAAACGTCAGTCGTGAGCTCGTTCCGAGCTCACCGTGGATTAGTCTCGATCAATCAAGATCGAGGATACCACGTAAAATCGTTTGTCTCGTGTTCTTGTTATTCCGCATCATCAAATTCTACATTGTGTGGGTTACATGGGCCAAAGGTAATAAGGAATGAGCTACGATATTTACTTGTCTATACATGTGGGTCTTGATTGACTTAACAGTCTTCCCCAAATTGATACGAGTCACAGTGGACACGGCTTTTCTATATATATCATCTTCAAATTACGGTTGTTAAATCGTGATCATTCTTGTCATTGAACTTCTGTGAGGATGCAATATGACATACGAAAATCAAACATTATGTTGTTCGGGAAATAATGCACATGTGCACTTCTCAAACAATCATATATATATATATATATATATATAAAAAGTTCTTGATTCTTGATGTAGTGTGAAATTTTTCTTAGAATGTCCATTATAATTGAAGTTTCTTAGTCGTAATGCTTGCTTGTAAAGATGATAGAAAATGAACAAGATTTGAGGACTAAGTGATAATTATGATGTTTGAGTGAATATAACTAATCGAAGTGTTAAAGTGAGTGAGAATAGAACATAATGTTTCTGCACATATTGAGATGGGTTCGATGCGAATACCAAACTCATTATCCTCCTTGTCAAACTCTAAATCCACTAGCATAATGCATATGTTTGGCCCGGCTTTTAGAAGTGCTTTTCGGATTCAAAAGCTGAAGTATGGCCAAACACCTCTAAAAGCTCGGCTTTTGAAAAGCCGAAAAGCGATTTTGTATAACATAAAAGCAGAATCTCCGATTTGGAGCTTCTGCGAAAAGCTGTTTTGAAAATACAAGATTATCTTTACCATATTTTAATTTTATTTCAGAAAATATCATTTTTCTTCATTTATATCATTTTAAAAATAAAATAAATTATAAAATCATATTATTTAATATAAAAGAAATCTAACAAGATCCAGTTTTACTACTTTTTATTGTTTAAAATTTTTATTCATATTTTATATTATAAGTCCTTTATAGTTATTTTACACAACCGCTCATATTAAAAAGCACTTCTAATAGTTTTACAGCCAAACGCTAAACTGCATTTTTTGAAAAGTACTTATCTAAAAGTTCCAGCCAGAAGCTGCTTCTGCAAAAGCTGCCAAACTAAATTATTATTATTATATTGGTTGAATTTTCTCTAAAAAATTATTTGAATTTGATTGAGTTTGAGTATCCAGGAAGATAGAACGTTACGCACCTAGAAGGCTTGTGATCCCCCTGAAGAAAAGCCTGGTCCGACTCTCTATCTTGGTAGTTCAACTGGGCCGCCAAAGAAATGGGCTAACAAAATTAAGTCACACCAACGTCTAATGGGCCTGACCCAATCGAAAACAAGAGGGCAGCGCAGCGTCGTCGAAGTCAACTTCGCACATCGCAGCAATTTAGCTAAGTGGAGCGCACACAGAAAGTCAGAGAGGAGGACAACAATGTAAAAAACTAAAAATAATGCATAAAAACACGTGTAAAGCGGCGGCCAGTCTGTCGTACACTCTGGCAAATCAAGCAGATGTCAGCCACGTGGAGGTACAGGGTTGCGAATTTCCCCTTTCTTTAATGCGACTTACACAAATATTTGGTTTTTCTTAAATTTAGGGCTTTAGGGTTTGGGAACAGTTACGCCCTTACTCTCTGTCTCTGCCTCTGCCTCCACCATTGTGACTCCTCCTGCAGGCTGCAGCAAGGCCTCGGTTTAAAAATTTTAAACCTTTCTCTTTGTTTTTAATCTTTATTCCCTTTACCTTGTTCCTCCTCTCATTTTGGTGTTTTCTTCGCCAATATTTTTGGCGGCTAGGGTTTCGACTCTTCGCTCATTCAGACATTAACCATACTGTGTATATATACAGAGAGACTCATATATATAGATACACTCGTTGATAGATTCATCCAGAAGTTTTGATCGAAGTTTTTGTTCGAGATTCAATTCAAAGTCGTGATTTTTCACCATTGGGTTTGCTTTGATTCTTTGTTTTGGGCCGAAATTTCCATCTGGGCAAAGGGCAGACCCTCCTGGTTTTTAAGCTTTCAACGTCTGATCAGTCTCTCAAGTAAGGCCCCTTATGCTTTCTTTATGAATTCAGATCACCCTGTTATTGTTCTTTCACTTGGGAAAGATTTTCTAGGATGAAAGATTTTAGCTTCTTGCGTGATGATCATTGGTTAATTGTCAGCTTAATGGAGTTAATCTCTGTGTTTGTGTTGAATTAGTCTTGCTGAGGATTACTGATTGGTGATTACCTGTGTTTATTATTCATTGATAGGAGTTGGTTGAGGAATTGACTACCAACAGAATGAGTTACTCTGATTCTCAGCCTCATTTCCCACAGCAGTCATATCAATCAGGCAGTGATGCAATTGGTATCTGGCCTCAATTCTCAATGAGCAGCAATGAACAATTCGACCCATCTTCGCCGTTTGAACAATTGCAACCCCACCAGCCTCCTTACAAACGGGCCAAGAGTTCTTCAGATGATGACAATGGGCAGCCTGTGAGCTCACGGATGCAGATGCCACCACCGAGCAACATCCCTATCAACCGAGGAACGACCAACATCTTTTTCAAGACTAGAATGTGTGCTAAGTTCAAAACTGGGACTTGTAGGAACGGCGAGAACTGCAATTTTGCTCATGGTATGCAGGATTTGAGGCAGCCTCCGCCCAATTGGCAAGAGCTTGTTGGGGTTAGTGGTGGTAGTGGTAGTGGTGGTGGGCGAGTTGAAGAGGATAATAGTAGGCAGCCACCGGTGGTGAATTGGGAGGATGACCAGAGGATAATTCATAAGATGAAGTTGTGTAAGAAGTTTTGTAATGGGGAGGAATGTCCATATGGGGACAGGTGCAATTTTCTGCACGAGGATCCTGCGAAGTTTAGGAGCGATGCTGGAGGAAGGTTTAGGGAGAGTGCTGCAATAAGCATTGGGACTACTGGGATGCCTATGATGAATGGAAGTGGTGGTGGTTATGCTTTGCCTGAAGCCATTAGGCCTGCTCAGAATGCTGCTGCTGCTGGTTCAGATGCGCTTAGGGCCATGATGTTGAAGCCTGTGTACTGGAAGACGAAACTGTGCTCTAAATTTGAGATCACAGGTCATTGCCCCTTTGGTGAGAAATGCCACTTTGCTCATGGACTACCAGGTATTCAGTTTAGTTGGTTGATTCTTGTGTCTTAACTCATAATATTTTTGCAGTTTGATAATTGTTTGTTATAATTGATCACCCCTTCTAGATTATTGTCTCTTTTCTCAATTGGGATGCTACTCATTTTGTGAAAAGGAAAGAAATGGGAGACCAACCTTTCTAGAGTTCATTTTCAAATACTTTCCATGAGAGCATCATTTTTATTCTTTCTGATCTACCTAAATACATCACAAGTGTTCATGTAAAACTATATTTTTGTTCAATTGCATGGTATTGCAAATTGCACTGTACCAAACACACCCCCAACCAACAACTTGTCGGTGAATTTGGAATCCAAATAGCTAGAGAAATGGGGTTTTATAAACTTGTAGGATTTTGGAGATGGACCAAACTAAAGGCTTCCTACATTCTTACCTATCAAGAACATGCTCTAGCTCAGATTCTTTCCACTTCTAGAAAATGTGATATCTTCTCCTTTCCAAATCAAATCTGGAAGGACTTTTGAGTCTCACCTCTGATTCTGTTCGTTGATGACTTGAGAGGAACGAATTGGTTGTTACCTTAAGTTAATACTGTGGCATTGTTCTGTTGAAAGCAGAGTTACAAGCTCATGGTGGACGGCTAGATGGGGAACCAGTGATTCAGGGCTCCATTTTAACGAGGCAATCGTCTGTTCTTGGCAACGGCAATCCATCCCCAAGCATTGTAGCAAACATGGCTAACTCCGTTGAAGACTCACAGGGTAGGAAGAAGTGCCTGCTCAAGTGGAAAGACCCAAAGAAACTGAACAATATTTATGGTGACTGGCTTGATGATCAGCCCTTAATACTGAACTTGACAAACGTGGAGAGCTGAGAGAGCTTTTTGATCTGATTTGCTTGCTTGCCTGCAATTTTGGAAGATTTTGATGCAGTATCATACTTGAGGTTCTTTCTACCAATGGCCATTAGGGAAGAGTTGTTTCTTTGTTTGTTCCGGCTAGATTAGAACTTCTATTTTCCTTTCCCTTCAAATTGAAGTGAAAGGAGAAGAAAGAGGAAGAAGAAGGGAGAGGAAGAGGAATTGCATTGATTCCTTTGTTTGTTTGTTTGTTTGTTCACTAGCTATATTTGTTTGATGTTATGCTGATGCAGGAATTTGCAGTCGGCCCCTTTTCAACGAAAGGGTTGAAATAGGCTTTACCCTATTTTTCTTGTTTGGTGTCTCTCATTGTTTTTCACTTTTGACATGTAGAAAGTGCAAAAACTGGCTAATTTCTGGGCTGTATAACTAGTTCTTATTAGTGAAATTGGTCTTGTGATGACATTGCGGAATGTATACTTGCATACATCTCTTGCAATGTCCATTTATGCTAGGATGAGTCGGAGAAAGGCTTTAGTCGTGGTAGTAGACTAATCGATCTTATCACGATTTTTATATTTATTTTTATTTTTATTTTCGAGTGATATTCAGAGAGGACAAGAGTTATATAGACAAATTTATCCATGAACCCCTTATATGCTACATCCTGGTGAAGCCATCCAAAAATCGAAAGACTCTAACTCTAAAAAGAGAAAAATCGAAAGACCCTAACTTTGGTGGCTCTGGGAACCGCCCTAAACTCTATACAAACTGACAAAGAGTCTAGAATCTAATGACACTTCCGAAGCATCAAACCTCCAAATGAACCTTCTAGGATATCTTATCTGATCTGGTTGATGACCATCTCGAAATCACCTTCCACTATCACGATTTTCTAAATTATGGTTCTTTGTAGAGACCATTAGGTAATATTGAAAAGCAAAATCAAGCATTCAATTTTCTGAAAGTCCGAATAATCCAATGGTGAGGTTTAAATGTTGGTCGTTGGAGTCATCTATTGTTGAAATAACGGGATTTAGGGTATGGAAAAGGAAAATTCCATGAGGCATTTGAAGTTTTGGATGAGGAGGACGGACTTCGGAGGGAGGAACCGTAAATCTAAAGATTTCACCCACAAGACAGGGACAGATGTCCGCAAACCTACCCGCCTTCCTGAGTCACCACCATAACCAAACGGGTTATAGGTATAATATGCCCCTCTACTATGACTTTTTATCAAACATGCCCCTTTGCTATTTTTTATATCAAACATGCCCCTGTACTTTGTAAAAATGATCAAACATGCCCTTTTGTTAAAATTTTCATCTAAAAAAACCGTTAACCAAGGCCGAACTTTAGTTTGGCCGACACAAATGACTGAAATATCCCTAATAAATTCACTTTAATTTTTTTGGTTATTTTGTATAATCAAATCATTCAAATAATTTCACTTTGAAAAGACCCAGAGAAATAAAACAGGGACAAAAGTGACATTTTCCCTCCCATTTGTCGATGTCGGGTCGTCTAAATCTCAATTCAACCATGATTGACGACTTTTTCAATCGAAATTTTAACAGAAGGGCATGTTTGATAATTTTTTCAAAGTACAGGGGCATATTTGATGTAAAAAATAGTAGAGAGGCATGTTTGATAAAATGTCATAATAGAGGGGCATATTATTCCTATAACCCTAACCAAACAAAGCTCCAACATTTTTCTTCCACATTCAACCCAAAAGCCACCAATGGCTCAGCCATTTATAATTGAGCCATGCTTCTTTCCCTCTTCTCTTCTTCTGTAACCAACTGTGCTCTCATTTCCTCCCTTCTGCTAACCCCTCGACGAACTTCCCCTGCTTCTCCCTTCTTTCTCAGAAAAGTCATAACCAGAGCTATCTCCTTCTGCATCACAACTTCCACCATGTCGGTTAACTTGCAAGCCCATGCCTTCGCCGGCAACCCTCTGAGATCCACTATTCCCAAGCCCGGCGACCCGTTTTCCCCATCCTCTGCCCTAGAAACCCTCAGGAGCCGGCTCATGGAGAGTACCAGTAGCAACCAGTTGATTTCTCCTAGTTTCCAAGTTTTGCCCTTCAGGAAGGGCCGGCCTCTGGCTTCTTCCGTCGATGGGGACGGCGGCGATGCTTCGGAGCCAAATTGGCATCTGGGATGGATTGGTCTTGCTGATTGCAGAGGGTATCTGGCTAAGTCTGGAGTTGAATTGACCGCCGAGAGCTTGGTGTTTCTGGGTTTCATGCCTGATGAGGATGTAGTTTACTGGGCAATTGATGTTTCTAGTGAGAATAGTTTGGTTCCTGAATTGGGTGGGAAACGACTCTGTTTTGTGGAGTTGAGAACTCTTATGGTGGCTGCTGATTGGACTGATGATCGCGCCATGGCGGATTTGGCCATTGCTGGTCATGTAAGTTTGTGTTTTCTAACCCTCTCTGTTGCAGTAGGTTGGTATGAACTCTAGTGAATCTTCTTTTGTAGGGTTCCTAAGGGGATATTAATTAGTTTGTCTATTGCTGATGCTGCGTGGTAAAGCGGAAAGGATGAACTTGTGAATGGATGATTTTGAATCATTCGGTGTCATTTTTTCATCCTGAACTTCAGTGAGATATTCTGCTGTGCCTGAGTAGATTTTTACAGATATTTCTTGGCTGCTTGGTTTCTCTTGTTTAGGCAAGAGCATTGCTAGAATGGCATAAGCTAAGTCGTTTCTGTGGATCTTGTGGAGCAAATACTGTCCCTGCCGAAGCTGGCAGAAGGAAACAATGCTCGAATGAGACATGTAAGGCGAGAGTCTATCCTCGTATTGATCCGGTAATTTTCATGCTTTCATTCTCTTTCTGTGATTGGTGATTCAATTTGCTTAATGAGTGCATAGCCCTCTACTAAGCCTTCTTGGCTGACTCTTATATAGGTTGTGATCATGTTGGTTATTGACAAAGAGAATGATCGAGTCCTTTTGAGCAGACAATCGAGATTTGTACCTCGAATGTGGAGTTGCTTAGCTGGTTTTATAGAGGTATGAGGGCCATAATTCTGAAATTGTTTCCTCTTGGGGGTATGTAGTTCTGTGATTGACTTCGGTTTTTCGGGAATTCTTGTGCAGCCTGGAGAGAGCTTAGAAGAGGCTGTGAGGAGAGAAACTTTTGAAGAGGCTGGAATTGAAGTAGGAGAAGTTGTCTATCATAGCTCTCAGCCATGGCCTGGTATCTTTTCATCCATTGGTTACATTGTTACCTGTTATTGTAACTGTTTAGAAAGATATGAACTTTGTAGAAGGAAACATGATTAGTCTTGCTTCTGAATTCGAACACAAAGAACTTGGCAACCTTTCATAAGTGCCCTTATGTCAAAATCATTACCATTGTTAAGAGTTCTATTCCCTACCGTTGATTCAAAACTGTATGGATGCATAGGCTGCTAACGTTTTATTGCTTTCGCTGTTTCTTTTTCAGTTGGCCCAAACAGCATGCCATGCCAACTGATGGTTGGTTTCTTTGCTTATGCAAAGACACTGGAAATCAATGTCGACAAAACCGAGTTAGAAGGTAATCAAAAACCTATTTCGTGCTCTTCTTCATTCACCCTTGCTCTTCCCTCGTGAAAGAAAGAAAGCTCACATGCTGCTTATATGTAGATGGAATCTTTCTGGTTGGTCAACTGATGCTTATATATATATTGCTTTGAAATGAGAATGATATTGAATCTTCCCATGTGGCTGTGCAGATGCGGAATGGCACAGCCGAGAAGAAGTACAGAAAGCACTGTCTTTAGCAGAGTACAAGAAGGCACATACAACAGCAGCAGCCAAAGTAGAGCAGATGTGCAAGGGTGTCGAAAAAGGTCAGAGCTTGTCTGCAGATTTCAATGTAGAAAGCGGTGAACTTGCTCCAATGTTCTTCCCTGGCCCTTTCGCAATTGCTCATCACCTCATCTCTTCGTGGGTCAACGGCAAGTCAACCATTGGTGTTGGTGGGAGACAACCCAGTACTTCTCTCTCAAATCTATAGCGCCCTTCTTCTCATCATTCCCAGAAATCCATCACCTAAAGAGCTTCACTGGCTGGCTCTACTGTATATTATAGCGTTTGTGCAAATAATGTTTTGCAAAAGAGCAGATTGTATCAGCACCCTTTTATTTTCGATTCGGGATGATGCTTTCTGGAACAATGGCTTCGAGTGTATTTGATTGATTTGTTGTACCAACTGTCATCAACCAACTGAATCAAAACAGTCTATGTATGTTTGTATGTTCATTCATATAGCAAAGATGGATTGTACCAACTGTGATATATTCTACGTTATGCTCCTTTTTACTCTGAGCTTACTCCCCTAACAGGATCATGGTTATTGGTTATCTCTAATAAAAGAGTTTTGCTGGAAGCAGGAATCAGGAGGTTACTCAGAGGCCAGAAGGCTTAATCGATTTAGTCCAATGTCTTAAAAAATCTTTATGTCGTTTTGATAATGGGTCGGGGATCTTGGTACACAGATTACGCTGTTAATGAGCCGAATCGAGCCGAGCTTTGCCATAGTTCGGACTCGGCTCGTTAATATATTTTCAGGCTCGAGCTCAGCTCGTGTTCGTCACGAGCTTTAATATGCAAGCTCGAGTTCGGCTCGTTTACGAAAATGAAAGCTCGAGCTCGATTCGAGCTCGACTCGTCAAATAAGTTTAACGAGTCCAAAATCGAGTTCAACTCATAAAATGTTCATGATAGCTCAAGATTGACCTATAATTGAGCACAAAATTGTATTCAAACCTATAGCAAAGTCTATCAAAGTAAAACACAATATTTATATCAATTCCAATACATATAATCTATGAATTCTAATAATTTTTTATGTCAAACCATTAAATGAGCTTGTTCACGAGCTTTCGAGTTGAACATGGTATGTATGGCTCGAGTTCGGCTCGTTTAGTTAACGAGCTTGTTCGCGAGCCAACTCGATTAAGACGAATCGAGTGTCGAACGAGTTTTTCTCGAGTCGGACATCGAACCGTTCATGAGCGATTTGGTTCATTAACAACCATACTCATGAGTATAGGTGTCAAAACATGACCCGACCCGAGTAACCCGCCCAACCAACCCGATCCGCGACCCGCCCGCAACCCGATTGGACTAAAAGTCAAAGATCCGCAACCCGCCCGACCCGTAACCCGCTTGACCCGCAACCCGCTTAACCCGCAACCCGCTTGACCCGCAACCCGATTGACCCGAACCCGATTGACCCGCAACCCGCTTGACCCGCAAGCCGCTTGACCCGTAACCCGACTAACCCGAACCCGCCCGATTGGCACGAATAATACTACATAATATATTTTTGTGCATAAATATTATATGTAGATAATATACATATACTTGCCCTATTATTTTTTCATCTTTTCCACCAATAACAAAGGTTTACTTTGTGTTGACAATAAAAATTATCATTTAATTGAATCACATAATAGTCTCACTGTCTCGGTAGATAAGTAGAAATCCTAGGAGGGTTGTCAACATTTTTTATATTTGGTTGATGTATATAAATAATATATATAGATAACACATACATATGAAAAACATGATTGACTTAATTAAGCCAATCATATATCAGTACCTAATAATTACAACATTTTTTCTTCCACACATAATATAACTGGTCACATAACATTGTCAAATATTAACCTAGCATACGAAGATTCATAATAGTACATAAGTCATAACTCATACCCTAGCCCCAATAATAAGAAGATACATAATAGTTTGCTTACTAAGTTCTACCATATAAAAAATAGTAGGATACAAATACATAGCTGACATTGTCACATCTTACATACCAACAAAATAGGTTCACAAATTAAAATGGCAATTCACTTGGCGATCAATCAACAAGCTTCACTTCTTCTCCATCATATTCTGCATCTTCATTATCCTCATCTGTACAATTAGTCATTGAAAGTAAAAACACCATTGTAAGTAAACTCTCACCTACTTTAGTATACACAAAGAATAGAAATTTTCTTACCCATTTTATATCCATGCATCCAATTACGAGTTGTCACAACAGCTTCAAGGGTATCAGACAAAATGGAAGTCCTCCATTTGGATAATATTCTACCTCCCAAACTAAAAGACGACTCTGAAGCAACTGATGAAATTGGAATAGAAAGCACATCTTTTGCCATCCGAGAGAGTTGAGGATATCGAAATTGATGATCCTTCCAATATTGCAATACTTCAAAAGGAAGCAATGTAGGAACCCCATCAATGTCTGCATAAGCAGGAATTAAAGGATCCGCCAAATATAACTCCAACTCGGATCTAGCAGATGTGTTCTGATTGATATTGGAAGCATAGAAACCCTGAAAATAATACATATCATCAATAATCAGACATAAGATCGAAAGAAGTATAAACAACAAAATGACTCAAAATGTAGTTAGAATACTTACAGCAGTGTGGCTATCCAAAGGAATGCTCGGAGAAGCCATAAGCCATATGCCTCGCGCCCTTCTCCTTCTCCTTCCCCTCCGCCGCCTCGTTGTCGTCGCCGTTGTTGTTATTGACGAAATCGTGGTTGAAATCAAGAAGCAGAGGAAGCGGAAGAAGAACAAGAAGCAGAGGAAGCAGCAGAAGACGGCACGGAAGCAGAGAGTCGCGGGTCGGCGTGGTTGCGGCGGAAGAGGCTGGGTCGATTCCCTCGCCATTCTCAGGTACGTGTCTCCCGCAAGGGTTTGTTATTTGGCTGAGTCGAACAATTCAGCAGCAAGGGTTTGTCAGTGATTGGGAGTTAAGCTTATTTTTATACTTTCTGGTCTTTTACAGGATGTTGCTAAATTGCCATTCATCGACGAGAGGAAATTATTATCACAAACAAAGAAGTTTGAGAGTACACTAACGGTTTGCACTCCCCTCTCTCCCTCAAAACTCTTTTCATTGATAGAAGTATTTAAAGTACCTAGTGGAGTATGAATGCATATTAATCTTTGCTTAGCATCACATCACTGATGTTGTGTTGAACATAGGATTCCGCGGAGCACATGTGGAATTGTGAATGACAGCATGTTAGTAGTTGAATAAGACTTTGAGATCTATCATATATAAAGACTTCTGGAAATATTTGCACTGACCTGAGTTGGTTGTGTGATGACCATGAATCTTCTAAAGCTGCCTTCTTAGGTTTTAGCTGTTTTTGGGTCTTGGTTGTGATAATAATTTTGTCGTCTGTGTTGGTAAGGCTATTGTGCTATTTTTTGTTTTTAATGGTGAATTGTATTGAAAAGGAGAAGTGGAACAGCAAGGCTATTGTGCTATTTCAATGGGCACTTGTTCTATGTTTTTCTAATGCTTCACTGCTTTCTTTTTCTCTAAACTGTGAGCTTTGTGGGAGCCGCCATGGTTGGAGTTTGTGGATAAGGAAGTTGAACAAAGTCATAACGTTGTGGAAATCTATTGTGTTTGTTGTTTCTTGTTTGATTGATTATGTAATTCTTTTCTTTTCGTTTCTTTTTTTCATAAGCAATGGACGCCAGGGCTAGAAGAAGCAAAATTTGGGAGAATTTCACTCAAGTTGAATCAGAGGGGGAGGTCAAGCTTCAATGCAACCATTGCATGATGGTTTTTGGATGCTATCCTAATAAGAATGGGACAGTTTCACTTTGGAGGCATCTTAAGATGTGCAGTAAGAGAAATCTTCAAGATTAATGGAGCCTTATGTACTTTTCTGTATTTCATTCTATTGTATTTGCTTAAACATCATGTAATGGTCTCAACTATCAAGACCAATGCAGTCAAAAGCGCGATTCTACCTAGAAGCGGTTGGTGACCTAGAAGCGTAAAACCGTAAGCTTTTAAGTTTTAAAACGTAGATTTTGACTACATATGTAAGGAGAAATCACGATTCTACGTAGAAGCATTTTGGTGAGCCAAAAATGTAAAATCGTAAGCTTTTAAGTTTTAAAGCGCGATTTTGACTGCATTGATCAAGACTTAAGAGATTGTTTCATTGGTTTATGATCAAGCAAGTTGTCAGCTTTTTAATTTCTTATGTTGGTTTTGTAACCTTAATGAATCCCTTGCAACATCAAACTTGTTTATGATATATTGAAGCAAAATCTAGTCACTCATTTGTTTAATAATGTATCATGTTTTTTTTTTCATTGCAATATGGTGATCGATGAGTTTTTTTAAAATTAGTGTAGTAACTAATTATTAAAAAAACTCGATGGTTTGGACCGAACAACCCGCAACCCGACCTGTTGTAACCCGCAATCCGATCAACCCGAACCCAATTGATCCGCAACCCGATCAACCCATAACCCGATCGACCCGCAACCCGATCAACCCGAACCCGATCAACCCGCGACCCGATCAACCCGAACCCGCTTGACCCGCAACCCGCTTGACCCGCAACCCGATCAACCCGCAACCCGATCAACCCGAACCCGCTTGACCCGCAACTCGCTTGACCCGCAACCCGATTAACCCGCAACCCGACTGAACCCGACCCGAACCCGCCCGAACCCGCCCGGTTGACACCTATACTCATGAGTACATGACAAACTCATGAGATTCGATGGCCAGAAGGCTTAATCTATTTAGTCCAATGTCTTAAAAAAAAATTATGTCGTTTTGATAATGGGTCGGGGATCTTGGTACACGCATATGAGATTACCTTGAGCCTCATGAGTACACGACAAACTCATGAGATTCGATGATTCAGAATTTTCAATATTTTAATTAGTCACTATAATAATTTTCTCAGAATGATAGGTTGTGAGAATTGAACTTTATAAGTTATGATACACCGTGTCAACTCTTATACTTTATCACTTAATTTATAAGTCACTCATTTATTTTTCTCATAATATTTCGATCGTCTTATTGGTAATGTACAATTTGAAAATAAAAAAAGTTATCACTTGTGTTGCTATATTAAAAGACTGGTTTGTAGGTGTTTGTGGGCAAAACTACTCTAAGCATTCAAGTTTATTCCTGTTTATGTCTCGCTTGTGGGGGTAGGAGGGAGACACTGTGTATTAGTAAGGGTGTTTGAGTAAGATTGGTAAGCAACGCGCCAAGAGATTATATTATTATAAAGCAGGAACGGAGAGGTTACAGAGAGAGAAAGTGTAGACAGAGAAAGTTAGAGAGAGAATGGTTTGGTCTTTATGATCGATCCCCTTCTCTCTGTGGTAAATGCTGTATTTATATCCCCGTTGTGGTAGGTAAGAAGTGCATACGACGGGACGTGTTGTCAGGCGCTGTCCTTGTCCTACTAGAGTCGTGCGTGTTTGGGGTTCTCCGGGCGCGGCTACTCGGCGGGCTACGACTTAGTCTCTTCCCCCAACAATTGCCCCCCCCAGCAGGAGCTAGTTCTTCGACCCATCTCCGCTGGTTACGGTCCTAGCGCGTACGTATGAAATTTCGCGCGGCCGACGATGCGGAATGTAGCACGGCTCTGAGGCGCTGATTGCATGTGTGCGTTTAGCGTTCCAGAGTGAAGCGTGCACTCGTTGTGAACGCGCCACGTTGGGCGTGACAGGTTTATGCCCCCTACTGAAGATAGGTCCTAGGAGTAGCTTCTGCTGACGTTGGAATATGAAAGGTCGTCTGACAACACGCTTTCGTTTCACTTTGCTACGTGTCGTCTTACTGGTGGTTCGTGCGTGCGGTGTTTTTGAATTTCAAAAATTTTGGCGGCGAAATTGTTGTTGCCGAGGCGGCCGCAATCAAACTCGGGATTGCGATTCGACGTATCTCCCGTTTCTCGATGCGTCATCCGACGGTTTGCTTTCTTTGTTCCGTTAGTATATAAATGGGGTCTAAGTCGATTGCTTTTTCCATTTCTCATCTTCCTTCTTTCATTTTCCGACGATCGTGTTCCTTCTCCTTCTTTTTCGACCCCTTTCCTCTCGTTTGCTTTGCCCCTGTGTTGTGCGTGATGGCTGAGGAGAAGAAGGCGGCAGAGGTTGTGGTCGACTTCGACGAAGAAGGTAACATGCTCAATCTATCTGACGCGTCTTTTGATTTGTCTGGTTTGGATGGTCAATTGTTCGGTGGGGAGTTTCCGCATACGCCCTCATTCGGTTCTAGTGGTTGTGCTGATCTTTTACACAGCGCGTCCGACGAAGGTAAAGGGTGTGATCAGCCGCGAGATCCTTCTGGGGAAGGTACTTCTCGGGCGGTAGATGCCCCCCGTGGGGTTTTGGTGGTTCGCCCTGGGGCGGTTGATTCTCCGGGGGGGGGGGGGGTCTAATTCACTCGAGATTTCTCAGACCGAGTCGGACCGCCCTCGGGAGGCAGAATAACCTCAACCGGTAGTTTGTGTGACAGAGGCGAGTAGCCGCCTTGGAGTTGCTGGGGTTAGCGCGGCCTACACCATCATAGATCGGGCTGATATGTTTGAAGTTGGGTCCGTGCCGAGTGATAATTTGGTGCGCGGTCCAGATCATGTATCAGAGCTTGGGAGGAGCGACGCGGAAAGGGTTGTGCGCGGGCTCGGTCTTCCACCCAATTGGACATACGCGGTTCCGAGTGCGCGCAGTCGGATTGGGAACTGCCCGAAGAGGTGCTGTTTTTCGGAGAGGAAAAACTTGTGTTTAAACACAATGAATGCACCTTTGACTTCTTGAACAACGAAAATCAACACGGTTCACACCTCTCCGAACAATGTTCGAACGAGGGTGTTTGATGTTTTTGATGGTTTTTGGGAATAATCTAAGTTATGTTACTCTACTCCTATGGAGGTTCAGTGAGAGCTCTAAAAACTAAGGGCTATGGCTAATTCGCAGAGAAAAGAATAAAAGTTTGACATAGTGTGTCAAATGGTTGGTTGTGGAACCTTTTACAATTTTAGTTTCTCCTATTTATAGACATCAAGTGTAACTTCCTTGGTAACTGCCTTTGTAACCGCTAGCTGGCTTGTTGCTCCAAACCGCCTCGGGGTCCTTGTCGCCGCCTTGGTGACTAGTTGGTAACCGTCACCTTGGTGGCCCTTTTCCCGTCTTGGGATGGTGGGTACTTGATGGCCTCGATGCCGAGTCGGGTTGTTGTTGATCCTTGTCGCCTTGTCATGACTGGATGGGGTTGAGGCTCTTGCCTTAGCCTCTATGAACCATTATGAGGTCTTGATTTCACCCTCGACTGCTTGATGACTCCCCGCTCCTGAGTCCGCTACCACCTCATGACACCAAGTCCTTCTCATTAACTTGTTGGTTGTTACCAAACCGTCTCCTCGGCTTGATACCTTCTGACATGCCACCAAGCCCATGTAATCAACTTGACACCCCTTGCTACCAAGCCAGTCTTGGTGGCTTGGTCTCCATACTTAGTTTTTGTAGCCTCGTCAAGTGGTAAGTTGCACCCTGCCGGTTTGGTACCCCGTGAAGGTGCTACCAATCCCGTCTTTGGACTTTGTCTCCATATGGCCTCATAAGGGCTGAGCTCGGCATCCTGGTCGATCCATCCATAGTTGGGTGGCCATCTCAGCTAGTCACCATGCCTTAGTCGAATTTCTTGTCTTGTTGGCTTGATACCCTGATGTCTGGCTATCAAGTCCGTCTTGTTGGCTTGATATCCAGACTTAGTTTCTGTATGACTCTGTTAGTTGGTACCTGGCTTGGCCCCCTGTTGCCTGGCCACCAAGTCAGTCTTGCCGGCTTGATACCCCCTTGGGGTCATGGTACCCTGTCGCCTTGCTTGGCTGCCAAGCCTGTCATGCCGGCTTGGTACCTTGTAGGGGTCTTGGTACCGAGGTCGTCTTGCCCGTCTGGTACCCCCTTAGCACCATACTTAGCCAATTTTTATATCTTTTGGTATCAAGCCTACCTTGTCGGCTAGATACCCTTTTGCTTCATACTTAGCCAAATTATATGTCAAAGTACCAAGCCCTGCTTTGACGGCTTGATACCCTGTCGTTGACATTCGCTCATTTGGCACCCTGTTGTGTCACCTTGTTTCCAAGACTTAGTTTTTGGATGACCTCCTATTTGGTACCCGGCTTGGTACCCGGCCGTTTGGCACCCCGTTGTGTCGCCTTTTTTCTCATACTTAACCTTTGGATGGCCTCCTATTTGGTATCCGGCTTGGTACCCGGCCGTTTGGCACCCCGTTGTGTCGCCTTGTTTTCCATATTTAGCCAAATTTCTTACTTAGGTATCAGGCCTGCCTTGTCGGCTTGATACCCTCTTGTTTGGCCCCCTTATTTGGTACCAGGCTTGGTACCCGGTCGTTTGGCACCCCATTGTGTCGCCTTGTTTCCAAGACTTAGTTTTTGTAGGCCAAATTTCATACTAAGGGGTGGAGGCATCGTCCGACTATGGGGGCCTCGGAGACGGGTCGACAATCGTATAGAGGAGAAGGGGTTTGGCCACTTAGGCCCAAAAATATAACCCAACTAGGCCCAAAAATATAACCCAACTAGGCCCAACTGGCTCTTTTAATCATTAATGTTGAGCTGGCCTTATAAATCCATTAATCCCCTTGTAATTAATCGATGTGGTACAAGCTGATTTTTTTATGGGTAAACAAATGCCCCCCACAACTTAGTGTATAAGAATTATGCACTAAGTTGTTGAAATCAACTTGACCACCTAAAAATAATACTTATCTTGGCACCACCTTCCTTAGCCAAATTTTGGCTTTGATTACAAAGCCATGCACCCATAGCCTTTTATGGAATGCTAGGCCCCGACAGACGGAAGTAAAACTTAACTAGCTCAATTTCCTTTCCATGTCATGGCTAGCTACTCAAGCCATGCTTTATCACGAGGGTATCAT